CAGATATAATGATGGTCTGCAACCTACATTTATTAAATTGAAATTAACTTGATGTAATAAATCGAAATAAATTACTAATTACATTTTAATAAGTGATAACTGATAAGTAATAATAAAAATCGTCGTTATATATTATAGAATCACAGAATAAAATAATAGAAAAAAATAGATGATAGAATATTGTACGTATTCGTCAATAATATGATATAATATAATATTAAATTTGATACATAAATATTAACATAGAAGCTTGTAATGAATAGTACCATGAAATCTTGGATCCAAAAAAAAAAGCAAACCCATTATCAGTAAATAGCAACTCACATTATAGATTATATAGGTACAAAAATATGATAATGATATTCTCTATTAATTTTAGTTATTTTGTTGTAATTTAAAAAATATTATTTTTTACCTAATAAGGATTTAAAATAGTTTTTTATTTTGGATATTATTACTTATTTACTTACTTAAATGCAGTATTATAATATACTATTGTATAGTGATCTACTCAATGGAAAAATACATTCGACACCTACTATACCATATAGTGACTTTTCTGAACCTTGGTTTTATTATTTGTATTTAAACTTAAAATTTCAACCTTAATGCTATAATTTAAACTGTAAATAGTATTAACCTCACGATTAATTAAGCTGTTTTGTTCATTTTTTTGGGCATAAGTATTTTGATTACCTATTATTAAATTTTTGTAATTAAAATAAATAAATAAAAATGAAATAAAAATAACAATTTAGAGAAGATATGGCGATAACACTGGCCTTATTAAAAAAAAAAAAAAAAAAAAACAATTACATATTTGAAGACAATCTTTTAGTTTAAATAATAAATATATTCCGCCAAGAACGCCAAAGTATTTGAATTCCTATATTACATATTATAATTGTATTCATTCATATAACTCAAATAAAGCTAAATTGTATTATAAAAAATATTAGTTTTTAATTAAATTTAAAATAAAATTACAGTTTTTAAACGTAATGAGTCGATTGGTAATAAAGATTAAAAAAGGTTACTTACCTTAGATATTTAAATTTTTGAATTATCTGAAAGTATAGATAATTAACTTGAAGTGACAAATTTTATGTCAGGCAAAGAAAAAAAATTGATCTTTTATAATAGGTAGTGTTGTAATGAGAAACAAGTAAACAACTAGTTTTGGTCCATGTGCACTCAAAATCCTTTTATGAACAAGTTATAAATACATTTTATGTATTTAAAATTATTATTTTTTTACTTAGTAACATATTAATGGTTTTAAGGAACAAAAAAAATCAACATTCTACATTAAGATATATTTTCTCTCCCCGTCGTAATACAAATAAAAAAAACAAAATGGATATGTGCTGCCATCTGTAAACTTACGTCTCTTCTTCTAACAGTGATAATAATATAACGTAATTATCCCCATAGACCTTATACCATGAACTAAGATAATATACAGGACTGATCACTGTTGGGTGTGCGGGTATGAAGGGTACGGTCAGTAAATGTTACGCCGCTCCTTTAAGTGGATTTGGCGCAATCTATGAGAATAACTTCACAATTTAATTAAAACACAATTTGCATGCTATAAATACATATTTCAAAAATAATAAATATGTTTATTTTAACACATTATAATAGCATTCTATACTGTACATGTTTTAAGCATACTGTTTTAAATTTTGTATATCGTTATTACCTTCGTAAAAAATTTAAAAATGGTAGCACAGAAGTCAAAAGCACATTAAAAAATACTCGATATTTCAAACGCCGAAAATAAAGATACTTCTGAAATATGGTCCAAAATTGTATCAAAAGTTAACTATAAACAAACTACTGTCAAATATTTGTGTGAACTCCAATTTACTAATGACGATATTATAAGGAATTATTTTGGTAGTTGTAATAGGTAGGTAGGCTAGTTTTAAACAGAGGTAACTGTGTTACTGTCTGGTATTACATTATTTGAATAATTATAATAATTGTTAATGCCTACCATTGTTTATTCTAATTTGTTTGGTAATAAAATAATGTTAAATTAATTTTTTTCTTTTAGTTCAAGTTCTACAGATAATAATGTTTCATTTTCTTCATCTAATATAGTGATTCCACTGTCTGCTACTAAGCCTAGGTTAAAAAAAAATGCTATTCCTTCAATTTTTGAAATAAATGGTTAGTTTAATGATTTAATTACATGGATATATATATATATATATAATATAAAAAAAAATATCTATACTTAATAGTAATTTTATTACTAAGTAATATTTTTAGTTTAAATATATAAATACAGTATGATAAATACTTTAAATAATTTTCGCACTTTTTTTTATTTGCAGTTTATATATTTTATAACCAATTAACAAATGGTTAAAATTTATAAGTTATAACATCTAAAACACTATATCATAGTATACATAGTATATTAAGGAACAATATTATTCTTTATACTATGCACTATATTTTAATGATGTGCGTCGTTACTCGTAACTTAGTATTACTAAGTAATAACATCAATAAACTAATTCGTCACCAGATAGCGTAGGTTCCACTTAAAGGAGTAATGCGTAACATTGTCTGACCGGCTGATAAGGCTCTGTGTCCAGTCCTGTATATCTTAGTTCATGCCTTATACTATAAAAAAAAAAGTAAAAGGTCCATGGTTATACCACAGAATGATGATAATACGTTCAAGATGATAATAACGGAGAAGGATAACTTTTCTTTTTACATTGCATGTACATCATTACTTTACATAAAATTAGAAATGTATTATTTTTATTTCTTTAAAATAGGTATATCAAGTACTGTGGACGAGTTATATATTAAAAATATTCACTCATTAAATGATTAATTAAATAGATTCAGTCTATGTTAGTGTAGGCAAATCAAAGAAATAATGGAGCATGGGCTATTCATCTTGACGAAATTCTATTATGGCAATACGAGTATTTTTAAAGGGATACATTACCTTCTAATGTTGTTATAATTTTGGGTAAAATACCGAATGATTAATTTATAAAATCGAGCTGGAATTGCTGATGCTATTAATCGTTTGTGATGAATTTGCTATATCTGCAATTTTTTTTTTTAGTGATCAACAGCTGGTAACTGACAGCAACTACTTCAGTAACCTAACCTATAACAATAACAATTATTTTGTTAAAGTTCAAAAATATTATTTACAGGAAAACAAAATATACGTATATTGTTATAGTGTTATAATTTATACACAATAATATTATTAAATGCAATGTTTTCGGCCAAAATTAATGTAACCTGCTGTATAACTAATAGTTAAATAAAATACTTTAGTTAACAGAAATATCAAAAAACATTACACGAAAAGATGCTTAATAGTTAATGATAAAGACTGATAGAGCATATTCACGCGGAATCGTTTTATGTATGTTTATTGATATTATAGGTATCATTGAATTTAAATTTAACACATTCATCACAGTAATCCACTTGATAGTCGACACTTACAGTACAACAAAACAATACCCATTTATCCATATTAAAAAAAAATTCTAACCTAATTTTGCCCAATTATATATTATCGCGCTCAATTGCTAAGATACTCTTATCATTATTAGTGGTGTGCAAATAAAAAAATAAGTAAGTAAATCCTTACTCATTTATCATAAATATTAATAAATATTAAAATATTTTGATAAATAAAAATTAAATTTCGGAAAAGTAGTTTATCATTTATAATTTAATAACTTGTAAGTATCTACCTATTTAAAATGTATGTACAAGCAGAGTAGATGACCAACATTTTGCGGGTTATTCTTATACCACTCCATTCTGCTCAGCAAAACTGTAATTACTTACAAATTATAAGCTACTTATACACAATTAGATTTAAAAAAAATGATAACAATAGTATTTAACTTAATGTTAATATTTCTAATTCAACGTGACCACGTCATAATATTATCTTGCGTGTACACAAACGCTTCCAAATAATTACTGTTAAAAGTAAATCTAAACAAAGATAATTTTATATCAATTAAACTTATCAAACAATAAACCCATACTTCGTATAAAATTAAATAATAATTATTTAGATAATAACAACAGGCTTAAAAATCATTTTTGTTATTAAATTTGTAATTTATGATCAGAAAACATTGTTCAGTCAATTTATATACTTAAAACATTGCCTAATTTATTAAGTCTATAAAGTAAATTATTATCGATTATCCTAATTTACTAAAATATTTAATTAATAATATTTCGTAGTAATTGTTAATAATACCTAAACTTATAACATTGCCGCTAACATTTAAACATACAAAATAATTAAATTTCCAGTAACTTTTTTAGTACACATTAGATACCTTTTATCTTATTTTAGTTTTGAGACAATTTCATCACCATCGGCCGCTTATGTTAATACTAACTGTACTTAACTATCTATTTTATATAATATAATAATTAAATTTAATATTATTCTAAACATTATGATTACCTAAAAGAAAATATAACTATTGTATCATTTAATATGATATAGCCGATACGCAATAAACTATACAAACATCCCGATTTTAGAAAGGTCTAGTTTGACTCGGTTTAGACTTATCTCCGTACAGTTTTCACCAGACGATCAGAAAACACTTGATTATTTATAAAAATTACAAACTATGTGTTTACGAAGTCGATTTCGACTTAAAATCATCGTGGACTCAAGTGTAACACAAACTACGAGGATATGCAGAAATAACCGCCTACATTTTACAAAAAACGCGTCCTAGACTCGAATTAAGTATATAGTTACATTAAAAATAGTATGGAGATTCCAAAAAGTTAAGTTATAATAAAAAAACGTAACTCAATAATTAAAAAACGACAAATTACCGAAGAGAGCCGCAACCATGTAAGAGAGTTCGATTGGAACGTGTTTACTAGTCGGTACGGCGCTAGGTATATATTAAGGCGTTGCAATTATGCACAGCATATACCAGTATTCAGTATTTACTATTTACTATTTTTGTCAACACTCGTTATTCTACAGTAGTACGGAGAAGTTTCATACACCATTTCAACATGGCTACAGTGGCAAAAGAAGGTTTCCCAATGACAATGACACCGGTCATCACGATAATAAAGAATGGAGCGATCAAATCGGCCGCACCCGCTCATCCTTCTACCGCAGTGATGGTGGTCGCCGCCATAACTGAGCTGAAAGAGAAAAAAGGTTCATCGCTGTCCGCTATTAAGAAATATTTGTCTAACAATTACCAAGTGGATTCAACCAGACTTGCACCGTTTATACGCAAATTCTTAAAAGCTGCCGTCATCAAGGGTTCATTGGTGCAGACCAACGGTAACGGAGCCATGGGTCACTTCAAACTCCCAGCCGAAGTGAAAAAGAAGCCCGTCACTAATAAACCAACCGCCAAGAAGGTTGTTAAGAAACCTACAACAAAGGTCTCGTCGTCCGCCGTAGCACCGAAAAAAAGGAAGCTGACCGCGAAGAAAACGACCACTACGACCGAGCCTGCTGCAAAAAAGCCCAAAACAATTGCTGCAAAACCCAAGAAATCGTTGATCAAAACTAAAAAAACAGTCGCAGCGCCCAAACCACCTAAGGCTAAGAAGGCAGCTGTTGTTAAACAAAGCAAGGCCTCAAAGAAAAATTAATTAACGAGAATAGTTGCGATTGCCGATCCAGGAAAATTGATATATTGAAGATAAAAACCTTAAAATGGTCCTTTTCAGGACCACCAAAATTATTTCAAACACTTTTAAATAAACATGTACATTGTGTAGTGTATTATCAAAAAAATTCCAATTTCTGATAAGATTAAAAGATTTATAAGTTATAAATTATAATCCATAAATTAATTACTAGTCTTTTTCTCTTATTTCAGACGTGCGCACCTCTGGGCACAGGTTAGGTTCTAAATTTTTACTAATGCTAAGTATAGTTTATACGAAGTTCAGTAAAATAAGCCATACTCGGTTATTTACCATCTATTTTGACATCCGTCACCGTTGTTACAGCCTACAGGCATTACTGCAACTCATATTTTTGATTTTGTTCGAAATCAAAATAGGTGTAACTAATAACTAAAATTATTTATAATATTAAATAAATTTAACCTTTACAAAAACATTTAATCTATCTTTAAAAAATATAAATATATTTAAATAATGTCCATAGTTTTATCAACATATTATATTAATTCATTGCGTTTTGTCATTGAAGTTTTTTTAATTTTTATAATACCTTCTTTTGGTATTTGTTAAGTAAATGACCACAGGCGAAAATCGGGACTACATGATTTACCCTATTTCAAATTAAAAATAATGCCTTGTTAAGTATTAAGAAAAAATAAATGTACATTACACAAAACTAAATGAATTTTATTAGTTTATTTAATTTACTACTTTCATAAAATATATATTTCTAGTGTAGAATCAAAATAAAATCTATACATGAAATACAAATTCCTAAATGTTAATATTTTTATCATCAAAATCTAATTTATAAAATAAGAAAAATAACAAATACTTTTTATATTTTAAAATTAAAGAAAGAGTTCATTTTAGGTAAGGATTATATTGATCCATTATTTTTTAAATTATAAAAATAATAACTGCAACTTTAATTCTTAAAAAAAAAAACAGAATTTTGGGTTTTCACTAGCGAAGGGCATAATCGATATAATATAAATATCCATATTTCGATTATGAGAAAATAATTGAATAGTTCTCGAGATTTCGAAATAATCGGAATATTTTGAATTATTGACTATTCGGTAATTAATATTCCTAATTTATTTACTATTAGTAATCGAATTAGTAAATTTTTATATGAAAAATGTTATGTATAAACACAATATTTACATAACACAATACAATTTTCAATATTATAATATATTATTATCAAATTTACTTCAGCAGACAGCCTAAACTATTTATTTTTAGTTATTTGTATATTTAAATTCAATCTGTGATGTATAAATGCATTAAAAATTATGCCTATCACTATTAAATATTTTATTAATTTATTATCTTATCATTAATTTACTACATTTTTGATATTTGATATTACACTAGCAAATGAAAAATCAAAAATAAATTGAATTATTTATTAGTTAAAGTAAAAATATGTTCATTGTTATACTTAAATATTTCGATTCTTTTAATTAGTGAGTATAGTCGATTATTTTTATCAAATGAATACACGATTTTAATTTCAATTTTCAAGTGATATTTCGAGATTCTTACTGGTTTCAATAATCTGGACAAACTTGGTTTCGTTAGAACAAATAAATCACAAATATTACAATAGTAACCCCTCTTAAAACACTTTTAGTGAAAAAAATATAAAGAATGGAGGTTTTACCATGAAAAAGAAAAATTCATTTCTTATATAATTTATTTCCACTTACTAGTTACTGATGACATTAGTGGATTTATAAATTTAAGTTGTATACAATAAAAATTGGTGGCTCTGAAAAGAGCCTTTTATAGGAAATAGATAAGTCATCAATTTCCAACAGACTTAACCTCCAAACCATATAGAGTACGGCCTTGACGTTTGAGAGCGTAGCGCAGACATCTCCCTCACACTAGTTAAACTAATAGATTCCTTTCTTAAAGATCGTACATTTCAAATTAAAATAAATGACTACCTCTCCACACCAAGAAACATCGAAGCTGGTGTCCCTCAGGGGTCGTGTTTGTCACCGCTTCTGTACTTGGTTTACACTAATGACTTCCCTACACAAAGTCCTGTTGTAGTGGCCCTGTTTGCCGATGACACTTTTGTACGCGAGCAACAGTAATTATAAATATGCTGTGTTAGCCTAGCCTTGCAACGCCAATTGGACACCACAATGAACTGGTCAACCAGTGGAGAATCCAGATCAACATATCGAAGACGGTTGCAGTAATTTTTGGACCTCACTCCCAAAATCATAACATGAAGCTAAACATACAAAACCAGTACCTGGAATGGAGCAGCCACGCCAAATACCTAGGAGTGATCCTAAACTACAACTGGTGGTGAGGCAGAAGTTGGTCCTTGACATGGGATATTGTGTTCAAAGTTTGGGTGAGAGGAACTACCTCCCTTTCGCTTGGTGGGTTTTTTGCCCATGGCGAAAGTGGACAGTGGACGTAGGAAAAGCACTGTCGTACTAAAAAGGACGATTTTAATTGTGTGGGGAAGAGGGAGTGCTGCGGCGATGTGAGGGCGTGGCTCCACGACAGCTAAAAGCGATAGATATTTCCCGTTCTAGCAACGGCTTGCCTGTGGGCGCTGGTGCCCTGTTGATTGGTGATCTCTATGCAGCGTGATGGCTGCAGGAAGATTGTGAGAGGGCGCTGATGCCCTGTTGACTGTGCGACTTCGTTCGCGTCGAGAGACTTGATGCTTTGAGAGCTGCACGTTGACTAATACGGCTATTTTTTGCTTTGTTTGAACGGCCGGTGGCCTATGTAGAGCACCAGGCTATGCCTTTTCACTCTGTTTGAGGTGGATAACTGATTATTTGTTTTGTGTGTCTATGTTAGTCTTGCTATGTAAGGATATTTGCTTAGGGATAATTTGTGACCCAGGGATCTCGTTTGGTTCAGGGCTTCGCTTCTGAGAGACGGAATGCCCATAGAGTTAAGCAGGTTTCTGTTTGTGGTTAGGTAGTGGGCGCCGGTCATGGTACGTAGAGCTATGTTTTGGAAGGCTTCGATTTTGGTCCACGTGTGTTGGCCGATGAGGTGTCTCCAAATTGGTGCCGCGTATAATACTATCGGTCTTAGGTATATTTTATATATTGATAACCTGACTCGTAGTGGGAGCGCGCTGTTTCGATTCAAGACCGGATAAAGTGCCGCTCTGGCACCACACGCTTTTTGTAAGGTGTTTCTTATGTGTTTATCGAATTTTAAATTGTAATTTAGGGTCACTCCCAGATATTTAGCGTGCCGGCTCCACTCCAGGCTCTGGTCTCGTATGCTTAGCTTCATGTTGTAGCTTTGGGAATGAGGTCCGAAAATTACTGCTACCGTTTTTGATACGTTGATTTGTATTTTCCACTGGGTGAACCAGTGCATTGTGGCGTCTAATTGGCGTTGTAGAGCTAATACAGCGTATTTATAGTTGTGGTTGCTCGCGTATAAAAGTGTGTCGTCAGCAAACAGGGCCACCGTGACAGGACTTTGTATGGGGAAGTCATTTGTGTAAATTAGGTACAGAAGAGGTGATAGGCATGACCCTTGGGGGACACCAGCCTCAATGTTTCGTGATGTAGAGAGGTGGTCACTCATTTTGATTTGGAATGTACGATCATTTAGGAAAGAATCTATTAGTTTTACTAGTGGATGGGGGATGTTTGCGTTCATTAATTTATAGATGAGTCCCTGGTGCCAGACGCGGTCGAAGGCTTTTGCCACATCCAAGAAAACTGCCACTGTTTTTTCCTTTCCGTGTGATTTTTTAGTTAAGTTATCTACTAGAGTGATTAATTGTGTTGTCGTGGAATGACCAGCACGAAAGGCATGTTGTTCACTTCTGATTTTTGTGTAGCTGTTTAACTTTATTAGTATTATCCTTTCGAAAATTTTTGACAAGGTATTTAATAGAGAGATTGGTCTGTGGTTATCAGGTATGAGATGGTTTTTCATAGGCTTGGGAATCATAACAATCAGGGCTTTTTTCCACTGTTTGGGGAAGTAGGAATGTCTAAAGCAACAAGTATAGATGTTCGCCAAAAGGGTATAAGCTATTTTTGGTAGGTGTTTCAGCGCTTTATTTGTTATGCCATCACTACCCGGCGCTTTCGCTGATGGGAGGTGTTTTACTATATTCCATACTTCGTTCGGTGAGACATATATGTCGGATGGAGGTGTGTTTATGTTGCGGAGTTTTAAGATCGAGTTATTTACTTCGGGTATTGGTGGGCCCGGGTTGTTTTGAAATTGGGCAGTCATTGTGTCTGCGAACAGTTCGGCCTTTAATCTTTGATCGTAGATTGATGTCCCATCCGGTGTTTTTAGCGGATGGCATGGAGGAGGTTTATGGAGAAGTCGGCGATTAAGTTTGTATATGGATTTGTTGTTAAAATTTAGGGTGGAAGTGAAAATGTGCCATTCGGACATTCTGTGACGGGTGAGAATGTCTTTAACATAAGACACCTGGGCGTTGTAGAGAGTTTTCGCTCTTGGGTCACGCGTACGTTGCCAAGTCTTGCGCAATACACGCTTTGTGTCGATTTCAAGTAGTAAATCGTCTGGTAGTCGTTTCGGGGGCTCTGATTGGCTTACGGTGTAGGAACAGTTTATGCACTCTGATTGGATGGCTTCGGTTAGCTTGTCTATGTTTTCGTTTATGTCCGAGATTGTAGATATGCGACTATTCTTTATGCGAGGTGTTAATTCGGTGTGGAACTTCTTCCAATTTATCCGTTTCCTTGCAGTAGGTGGGCCACTTTGCAAAATTTGCGATGATAAGCTTAATATTTGGGGGTTGTGGTCCGAGGATAGGTCGCAGTGATTGGTGAGTATATGATACATGTTTGGCGTGTCGAGTAGGAAAATATCGAGAACGTCAGGACGGTGAGTCGGGATGAATGGGTAGTGTGTTGGAGAATCTGAGGCCACGATTGTATAACGGTTTGACGATTCGGCGTGTTGTGCAATTGTCTTACCTGATTTGTTGCAGTGAAGACTGTGCCAGTCTGTGTGCTTTGAATTCAAATCACCGCCTATAATGAACGGGCCATTGTGGTTGGTTAGCGCGTCTAGATCTGACGATTTTAAAGTGGCACCTGGGCTTTTATATACAGCAGTGATTTGTGCGATTTCGTTGCCGAGTTTTACATTAATTGAGGTCGAGTCGAGCTCTGTTGGGATGTTTACATGATGATGAACTATTCCACGACGAACCAGAACAGCAGTTCCCCCGTTCGGTGAAGTTCTTGGCAGAGGTTGGCGGTCGTAACGATATACGTGAAAATTTGGGATTTTGAGTGGCGTTTTTGGGTTTAGGCGGGTTTCGCCAAGTAAGATAATGTTTATGTTGTGGAGTTTAATAAAAGTGGTTAGTTCTTGTATCTTTTGACTGATACCATTGCAGTTCCAAGACATGATTTTTATGTTAGACATGATGGTTTTCAGGGATGACGTTGAGGATTGACATGACTGTGTTTATGATTGCATCTTTAGCGTTGGAGTCCGGGCATTTTTGGAGAGTGACAAGTAGTTTTTTAATAATGACTAATATTTGTGCCGCCGAGACTGCAGGTTCAGAGATGGGGGTTGAGTTTGCTTTTACAATGGCTGCGTAGGTGTTTGACGATGTATTAGAAAGCGAAGTTGTTTGTGGTGGGTGTTGAGTGACGAAAGAGGTAATGGTTTGAGGGTTTTGGTGGCCGGTTTTTTCGGAGCGTGTGCGATTTGGGATTGGTTTTGGTTTGTGATGTTCGATGTAGTGGGGGCATCCACGGTAATTCGCAGTGTGTTCTCCACCGCAGTTGCAGCAGTGGGCATTATCGGTTTTGGGCTTGGGGCACTCTTTAGTGGGGTGCTCTTTACCGCATTTAACGCAACGTGGAGTTAAGTTGCAGTTTTGCGACGAGTGTCCGAAGTGTTGGCAGTTAAAGCATTGTGCCGGACCAGAATTTTTGTAAGATTCAATTTTAACCCTTACGTAGAACATTTCACCGATATTATAAATGTCTTTTGCGTTTTCTGTCATCTTTAGAGAAACCATGTGTATGGGAATTCTTTTTCCGTTTTTTAGGAAACCTCTGACAAGTTGTGGAGAGTAGCCTAACAAGGTAAGCTCATTTGATAGTTCGTTGTCGGAGATATCTAGTGGGATTCCCTTAATGACTATTTTTAATGATCTTTCTTCTTTCAATGGGAAGGAGAATGATTCGACGTAATCGCGGTTTGTTTCCAAGAAGTTTTGGACTGTACGGAAAGAATTTTCGTCTGGACAATTTATTTTGATTTGTGATGGAGTAGATGTTATTTTAGCAGTTACATTTTCAAGACCATCGATTTTAAACATTTCCTTGGCAATTTTGTGCCATGATAAGCTTGGACGAGTTAGAACAAAGATAGGTGGGAGACGGACAGTACGTTTAGATGGAATGATAGTAGATGACAATGTGGAAGAGTGTGACTCACCTGAAGACGAAGATTCAGTGTCTGATGTGTCTCCGCTTGATGGAATATGGTCGTCATCAAATGGAGGATGGCTGGGCAGTTTAGTCGGAGCGTCCGCGGACGCTGGGTCTCCGATTGCCGAAGAGCCGCTCTCGCCATTCTTCCGTATTTTCTTTGGTGCTTGCTGAGTTGGAGAGACGCTAGATCTCTTTTTCTTTGGACGACCACCTCTGTGGCCCATTGTGCGCTTGGTGATACCTTTGTATGAATGTTTGATGATAAAGACTTGTGCCTTCAAGAGCTGAACGTTGATATTGTAATGATAATCCTATTGATGATGATTGATAATGAGTGATATGATAATACGGCTAAAACGCCTGTCGTCATATTTAATCGTTTCACTGTACGCTCGCAGCCAATCGAAATGCACGATCGGATTTCTCCCTCCTTTGTACTCACTACCGCTCACCGACCAATGGTAGGGACGGATATGATCCCATAATGTGTATAAATACAGGTAATTCAAACGTTCAGCCACATTCCGTACTAATACCTTCTCCCCGTGGTTTGTAACAAATAAAATTATTCTATCTTCAACACGGTACCTCCACCATCAATCATTAATAACTAACAGTAAGAACTAAGAATCTATTCCACCGGAACACATACTCAACTTTCGCCTACATCCGCAGTCTCGGATGTGTAACCTATCAATCCACCTTAGCTACCGACCCAACCTCAAAATCCACCAAGCCTTGCCCGCTCTTATGGTGTAACTCTAACTAAAAAAAAAAAAAAAATAATTCACCGCATATTACTCAACTCGTCATAGGCAAACGCCTAGAACGAGTATATAGGCACCTCGCCGTTATATAAGCAATGTTCAGCTACACATCTCAGTGACTTAATAAACAATTATGTTGTAACTCAACCAAGTTAACATATTACAAGATGGCATGAACTAAGCAAACCGCCTGCAAGTCGACCGGGGAAACAGTTAGTGACTAAAACCGCAACCGGTGGTGTTAAGAAACCACATCGGTACCGCCCGGGAACCGTCGTTACCAGAAGAGCACGGAACTGTTGATTCTCAATTTTATTTTGCAATTTGCTTAGTTTGAACGGCCGGTGGCCTATAAAGAGCACCAGGCTATGCCTTTTCGCTCTGTTTGAGGTGGGCTTGGGATCGGTATTCTGGCTGTCTACGCTAATCGTGCTAGGAGGGTATTTGCTTTGTGATAGCATATGCCTATGTGCCATGGACCTCTCTAGGTACAGGGCTTCGCTTCTAAGGGGCGGAGTGCCCGTTAAGTCTAGTAGGTTTCTATTACTGGTTAAATAATGGGCGCCGGTCATGGTTCGTAGAGCTATGTTTTGAAAAGCCTCGATCCTGGTCCACTGTTGATCCACAAACTACCGTTCCAACGTCTTGTCCGTGAAATCGCCCAGGACTTCGAGACCGACTTGCGTTTCCAGAGCTCTGCCGTCATGGCATTGCAAGAAGCGAGTGAGGCTTATCTGGTCGGTCTTTTCGAAGACACCAACTTGTGCGCTATTCACGCCAAACGTGTCACAATCATGCCGAAAGACATCCAACTGGCCCCTCGTATCCGAGGAGAACGTGCATAATTATCTTCATATTTTAAATTTCAACACCTTAAAAACTGCCCTTATTAGGGTCATCACATTTTCACTTTTCTACACAAAAATTATTAAATAGCAAAATCAATTTAAAAAGTAAAAACCTTCTTATTGATTATTATTATCGTCGTGCACAAAGAACCATATAATTAGATTTCTTATTATAAAATAACATCACGATATTACTAAACTATGTAGATAATTTCAATCTGAAAATAATATTATTAAAAAAAAATTTAAATCAAAGACATATTTTACGGTTATTGGCCATCAAAAACGACGAAGAATTATTGTCTGGAATGGCCAGCTCAAGGTGGTGTGTTAACCAAATATTCAAGCAGTTCTCTTGCCAAAGAAGACAGAAAAAAAGTTTAAACGTATCAGACAATTTTTAAATACAGTCCTTTACAATGTGATTAAAATAAAACAATAAAAATAATACAATTTGAAAGTAATTGCTCTTTCTGTGTCTATAAAATATGTCTTAGTTTTTTATATCATAAAATAAATATGTAAAAGGTGTTATTTGTTATGATTTTTCAGGACCTACGGTTTAGTGAAAAATCTTTAAAAATATTTCTTTTCTTCAATTGATTTTAAGTTATTACATATTTTCATCATATAAACAACAATTTCTAATGAAAAAACGGTAATACAAAATAGTTTATAAAAATACACTAAATAATATGATACGTAATAAAAATAAGTTTTGCATTTCCCTACAAAGAACATTAACACTATATAGGTAATGTTTAAAATTTTTTAATTAAAGCAAAATCATGTTTAAATTAATTGATTAAGTATAAATTTAGTTAATATACCAGACACAAGTTACATACTATATCTATTATTTATGGTGCTGCTATTTTGTCAACTATAAAGTGGTTCACAATTACACCATGATCTCGGTTGTATACATATTTTATCTACAACCAAGATCGTGATCTATGCTTTTGTGATAACTGATGATAAGAGTGTCAAGTGATTATAATGATAATATTGTCAGTTAGTAGGTACTAACTGCTAAGTTATCGGTTGTTACTTGTCGGCAATAATTCGGCATTCAGCTTCAGCACTCGCAGTAAAACATAAAAGTTTATTGAAACACACGAGTAGAAATTTGGTTCCACAGTACCGGGTATTGTATTTAATAAAATAATGAACAATGCTGATATAATATAGTATGGTTAGTTAGTTTCATAAATAATCAATATAATTAGTCTAAATTTTGACTAGACCTATATTAATTATAGTCATTTGACGAACAGTTTTTAAATTTTAGATTATTTGGATCGATTATTATGAATTCTTATCTCTTTTAATAGAATTATTTTGAAGACAATATATTGGACACCTTCTTTGTTTAATGTTAGTCATATGTTAATTAAATACAACGAGAAGCTACTATGATATCAGAAATTAATGAAGCTATTAAACAAAACGATTTCCAACAAGTGAAAGTTTTAATTGAAACTGTCATTGAAAAAGTGAGTTATCGATTTAGAGCTTTTGCTGTACTCACATATTTGATACATAATAATGTTTGTATTTTTTATCACAGCATACAAATACATTTAATTTTGATGCCTTTCATGCTAACAATACTTTCAAGCAGTTATGGGAATCTATGTTCCTTTGTTTGACGTTGGACAGTTACAGATGTATTTACAAACAATGTTTAACGTGCATTCGACTTCTAAGGTAAATTTATCTCACAATAACAAAGTTATAAGTTACCGTCCAACTGTAATGATCATATTATTAATAATAACTATTCCTTTACCATTTTACTACGTTTTGAGAAGTAGATTTTCTATTCTTTCTTTCGTTGCTATTTCCAATGTGGATCTACAAAACAATTATTATTTAATAATTTAATTTTATCTATTGTTAACTATGATAATTTCTGCTGAATTTTATATCTTATCGCATTTTTAACTTAAAAACATTTTTACCTAACCCAAGGAGTTGCTTACTTAAAGTTCTTACTAACTTATATATGCGTTAAGTTGACTTTTTTGGTAGCTATATCCTTTACACTGGAAATGTTGAATAATATAAATCATATACATTGCATTATATAATTAATATTAAATAATAATTATTAATTAGATTTGGCAATAACTAAAGAATGTAATAAAAATGGTAACATTACTTTTTGTATATTACTTAATTATATTAAAAATTATGCAATTATTGTTATGATTCATAGTCGAGACAAAACACATTTGAAAGATATTGTAATTGAAAAACATGTCAACATTCTGCTTCAGTGTGCTAATCTTGTTGATAGCACATTATGCATAGTGATCACAACTGAAAATACAGATAGTAAGTTACCAAAAATATATATTCATTTAACATTGAGTTATTAATACTTGCTACCAAGTACAAGGGTGCCCATTGAAAAATTTTCAAGGGGAGGACAAAATTTTAATTATGTCCATGAGATAGGAAAAGGCTTACAGTTTAACATTATACTATTATATTTTATATATCAAACTGGAAGATTATGAAATAATAATTATTTAACTGATTAACCATAAAAGTTATTTATTGAATTTTCATTTAATTAATAACATAAATTTAATAAAATATTAATTTACAAATAAAAATTGTAAATTTCTTTTTTTAACACCAAATATATTTATTACTTTTTCTATGTATTCATTCGTTTTATCATTAATTTTTTCCCTATGTACACTTATCGTGCATAATCCATTAAGTCAATCTCCATTCATTGTAGATCTTGTGTAAACAAATTTTCAACATTTTTCAGGGGGGGATATGTATATGGACGCCCTTGACCAAGTATATTTAATAGGTTTTACACATTTAAATAAGTATAATATGCATTTATAAAAATAAATAATAACAAAATTAAAAAATTGTATTTTTATATTTGTTAAAGATGTTTTAACTTTACTGTACTTTGTATCTATTAAATAGTAAATAATTATTTTATAATTTTGTCCTACAGTTATCGTAGAAGGTTTGAAATGCTTGTGTAATATAGTTTATAATTGTGACACTGCACAAGAAATATGCTGTTCTAACAAAACTGTTGACTGCATTATTCTCAGACTAAGAACATATTTTGAACAAAATATTCCATATTTCATAAAATATTTTGACATCAAACTTTTATTTCTATTAACAGCATTTAACAAAGATATAAGGTAGACTCTAATATACATATTTTGTTTTTATTTTTTAGTGTATTTATTAACTGTTTTATTTTAGATTAAAAATCATAGAAGAGTTACATGGTCTCACGTACCTAACAGAAGTTTTAGACAATATATTACGTGGCACTATTGAAGATGTATCCAAAAGCAATTCATCTAGCTTACAAGTAATTTACTTATTTACCTATTAAAAAAAATGATATTTTTTTTATTAAAAACATGAATAATATTTGCAGGAAGAAAATGTGTTACTCAGCTGTGAAATACTGAAAACATTATTCAACTTGACTGTAATTCCAAGTAGTGAGTCATCTGTGGAAGATGATTATTCAATTTGGATTAGATTGATTTCCATATTACGTGATTTACTAGTCACCTCAAATTTTGTCCCATTATTTCAAGATAACATTATTTGGTATTTTCTTAAACAATGTATTTTAAAAAAAAAGCTAGTTTTACAAAAATTTAAAAATTTATCATTTTTTTTTTAGTAATGTTGTAAATTTGTTGACAAATGCACCACCAACTTGTTTAGATCAATTGCTAGTTAAAAGTCATTGGTGTGATTTTGATGCTTTAAAAGTTATAGTGAATTATCTAGATAATCAATTATCTAATACAGAGGTATGAGGTATTTACTGTTTTTGTATTTTATTGTACATTTTGATAATAAATACCTTTATTTTCTTTGGTACAATTATTTTAGAATCCATTATATGAACATATATCACCAGTATTGATGGTACTATTAAAAGGATCTAGATCTGTCGCAAAATTTCGTTGTGAAGTACGACAGCAAATTTTACCTCCATTGAAAGATGTTATCAATCGACCTGAACAAGGAAAAACGTTGCGTAATAAATTATGCCGTTTGCTCACTACTCCCAATGTGAGTCTTCGTGACCTGGTTGCTGAACTATTATTTGTCTTGTGTAAAGAAAATGGTATAAAACTTATCATATTATTTTTATTGTATTGTTATTGACATAATTTAAATAATTTTTAGTGGGTCGTATGATCAAATATACAGGATTTGGCAACGCAGCTGGTTTATTTGCAAATCGGGGATTACTTTGTAAAACATCAAATCCAGATTACTCATCAGATAGTGAAGATAGTGATACAGAAGAATATCTAACATACAAAGACCAGTAAAATTTCTATTTTAAATTATGCATGTATCAATAATATAATAATATAATATAAACATTATCTTGTGTAGGATAAATCCAGTTCTTGGATGTTATGAACCACCAAAACCTAATCCATTTGAATGCATGTCTGTTGAACAACAAGAACACGAGGTTATGCAGTTGGTTTCTAAAATGGATAAACTCACCAGGTACTTAAAAATTATACATCTTAGAAGCTTTTTATTTTTTACAATATATTATTAATTCAGCTATACTCCCATTTTACAAACAATTGTATGATTTCCTTCTCTATTCTCACTGTTTTCACTTTGGAAATCAATTTTCACATCTGTCTCCTAAAGATTGTAAAAATATATCATTCTCCATGATTAATGTAGCTTTTTTGAATTTTATTGTTATTTATACAGATGGTTCACTCTCTTCTCTTTGTGCTAGCTATGCCTATGCATTCTACATTCCAGAGCTACATGTCTCTTTTACTAATAACCTCTCTCCTTTGTCTTCTTCCTTCACAGTCGAGTGGTATGCTATTACTGAGGCCTTAAAACTAATTAAATTAACTCACCTAAAACTCAATATTTCTTTTAACCTCTACTTCATAGTCAATACATAATCCATAACTGCTATTAAAATTGTAATTAATTTATATTTGATGCTGGCTTTATTATATAATATAGTGTAATTAATATTTTCTGTTTTCACTTTTTATAATTTTTGAGCTTTCATAGTTTTAATACTAGTAGGCAATACCTATTATTAAAAAAAAAATTGTATTATAAACTATTATTTTAGGGAAGGAGTGATACAGCCATGTAAAATTGGAGATGATGGTCGACCAAAACCTATTGAACATGTTCTTCAACTTCAAGAAGAATTGATGAATCATTTTTCTAATATAAAAAATAAAGATGGGCCAGATGATGAGAGTGATTAAGTCATTAATTAATTATCTAATTTAATTGTTTATTTATTTTTATTTATTATTATAGATTATTTGTAGTCAAACTTTTTACTCATAATATTCATTAGCTATTATTAGGTACCTGTATTTTCTAACTCCTAAGGTAAAATTTGTGTATTCAGGTTTGATATCTTCAGTTTTAAAATTTGAGTCAATTTAGTTTGCCATCTAGTAAATTGTATTATGCACATACTAATGTACTATTCATAAATTTTATTTAATATCACAATTTTTTATAACTGAACACTTAAAATAACTAATATAATTTACTTCAAATAATTATTTCTTATTCCTAAGCTAAGAAATATTAATATTATAAATCTTATAATATTGAAACATTTTCCACAGTTGTATTAACAGTTGAAGTTTAAAAGGGTTATGCTTTAACCCACGAAAAAAGTAAACTGTTTAGTGTATGTATATTGATTTTGATGATTATCATAGAGTTTTATGTTCCACAATTAAGCTTTCAGTGCAGTATACAAGTATACCTGTACATATACTAAGCTACTGATTATAAACACACAGATTGACTGTAAACAGTGCATCTGTTGTAAAATTACAGGCAGTATGAGAAGTGGATACAAAAATGCTTCAACAATATTTTACTAAGGCACATTTTATTTTTCTCGTGGGTTAAAATATAGTCTTGAGCAAATATTTATAAGATTTCTAATGAATAATTATAGACTATTGGTTAAATGTTTGATACTTATACAGAAATATTTTTTATTTTAAAATAAGAAAGAAAAAACAATGTTATTAATTAAAAAAAAAAAGTAAATGCTTAAAATAATTACTATAAATAAAATCTCAGGAATTGACTGCTAACATAATGTCTTTAGTTAAAATAAAAATCCTTCATATACCAATATAAAAGATATATTTTTTTTTCACTTTATTACATTTGTTCATGATATATCTTATTATTATATAGATAATATTTGTTTGTAAAAAACATTTTAAAATATCTAAAATGTTATACATTTGGGCATAAGAATTTAAAATGCTCAATTAATAAAAGTATTTTCATAGCATTGTATATTATACTCATAGATTGTGCACTTATAGAAACTTTTTACAATTCTTTTCATTGAATACATTTTTTGTAAATTATAAATTACAAATAATTCTTGTATCTAGTCAAATTAAAGTTTATAAATGCACTATTTAATTCTTGTTATTTTGTGTAATTGATTAAAATGTCTATTGTTACTAATCATTTTACAAAGTTCAATAAATTGCATTAAAAATTATTTAATAATATCAATACTATAGTATATCAACCATGTACTTTATGAGCTTTAAATTATGTTACTTAAAACTCCTTTATAAGAATCTTATTTAGGTAAAGAAATTAATCTTACATCAACCATTGAGTAATACACTTTAGAAATAATTGAAACCCTATCTCATCTCAAAAAATTAATTTAATAATATAACTAAAAAACAAACTTTTAAAGTATCAACTATTATTTATCTTTTTATCTAAATAAAATTAATTTATATATATTTAATCTTCTTTGCATAAATAATTTTAGTTTCTGCCATTTTTCATACTTATTGAGATATATTTTTATTTTAAATAATTAATATATATTATTTAATTTTCAAAGAAAAACACAATTTATTCTCTGTAAATATAATTGAATTTTAATATATTTTATGAAAAACAAATATTTAAAATATATTACTAACTATATAAACTACTCTATGCCATGAAATAACCACATTGTACTTAATACTCATTTATCGATATTATATTTTCACTGCTATCTGAATTATTAATTTGAACAAGTGGCCAATTATCATCAGATTTCTGTCCACGATAATTATATTTTATATAATCTGGTTTCTCCTTACATATAGACATGTATGCTTCACAGATTCGACCAAATTCACTGACAGTTAATTGGAATGGTCTTGTACTTGGTTCTATTGCTGCAGCAGTTAATAATTCACTAGCTAGTTGTTCTCTGACTGGTTTTGGAAACAATGTCCTTTATAAAATAATTCAAACATAATTATGTTTATTCTAATAATTTGAATTTAAATTACTTACTCAACACCTCGAATACAATGTTTTTGTCTGTAATTAAAAACAGATCTGATAACCTTTTCAATTATGTCGAATGGTAAATTAATTATTGGTTTTTTCAGAGGTGTAAGACGTACAACACCCACATCAACATTTGGTTTTGGAATAAATGCTCGACCTTAAAATAAAATTAATTAACTTTAAAAAAACGCTCATTACATAATTTTACTATTATGAAGTTTCTTGGTAAACCCACAGTCAATTTTTAATTGTTAAATAGCAATTTATATTTCTAAATTTAGATTCTTGAATATAATACTTAATAAAATGTCTTATTCAATAATTACCTGAATACTTGGTGTAATAGTTTGTTGGACAACATAAAAGTTTTCTTACTATACTATATAAATCTCTAATAATGCTATAAATTGTAATTTATTAAATGAAGATTCTGAACAAGGATTAATTATAATTTATTAACAATAAAAATGAGTAATAAAAGAATAAATGAATAACCAAAAGAATAAATTGTCATAAATTAAATACATGAATTCGTTGTTCTTCTTTATTATAAGAGAAACTATGATGACATTCAAATTGTTCTTTAAAAGTTTTAATTATTGTTGCCAATAATACAAACCACTCAATTACAAGTATTATTGAGGTAACAGTGCATTAAAAATGGAAAACTTCATTTAATATTACATCTGTTTTACCTAAAACCACTACTGTTAAAAAATATGTGATAATTAATGGCTTTTGAGGTGCTAGTTTGACACTACAAGTACGTTAAATAATTCTGAATAAAAACTTTTAGTTGTTTTATTTAAAATGTAAGACTAATGGTTTGAGATCTGTGATATGGTTTCAAGTTATCAATATTTTTAAAGAACTATCATGAATAGTAATAAAAAAAACTATATTTACCTGGAATATTAAATTTATGTTCGACCCTACACCAATTTTGACACATAACTGAGAGCCTACTCCTCTCTTTTGTCATTATTGGTGCTACCATTCTCTCAGCCACTTCTTTTTGAAATGTTAATGTCATACGTACTCGACCGTATCTCCATGCATTTTTTCTGAAAAGAATAGTTATTTATATAAATAAGTTAATGAAAATTCAAAATATAAATCAAATTTACTAATCTTTCTGATATAGCTCTTAACCATCGTATTATAAGCGGGGTAGACACATTAAATGGCAAATTTCCAATAAGATGAATTGGTGGACATTTATCTTCCCATTCCATTTTATTATCTTCATTGAACATTTGTTCTAAATTAAAATTCATTACATCTCCAAACATTAACTCTAATGGTACTGGCGATGATTCAGCCAAAAGCTAAAACAATTTACAATATAAGTTGATTATAATTAATTCTAACTAATGTTGAATAAGATATAATAAAAATTAAAATAAATATTGATATTTTAACAAGATACCAACCTCCAAGGATGGTGTAAATCGTTTGTCTTTTTCAATTATTAGTACTCTAGAGGGCATGTTTTGAATTATTGATCTCGTTATATTGCCAGGACCAGGTCCAACTTCACATACTTCACAATCCTTAACAGATCCTGCTGATCTGACAATGCGGCTAACTAATCTTGGGTCCATTAAAAAATTTTGAGAAAGCTCTTTCATAGCACGTAATTTATATAGTTTAATTAAATCCCTGATGCTAGGTAGGGGTGGCAGCCGGATAACCCGACTTACTGACATGATGAGAGTATATAATTTATTATTGCTTAACAGTTACTGCAGGTTCCTCGAAATCATCCAAGAACGTTTCCTGCTTTATTGAATAAATAGAATATCCGTAAATGCTTAACGTAATACCGCCTAATAATAAACCTGTATAACGAGCGTTTCTACGCATACGGTTCAACCTAGTAGCACGGATCAGATTTTGGCGTTCAACAAATTTTATCTGTTGCAGTAATCTTTTATCAATTTCACCGTCTTTCATGAAATCAACTTTGGGCATCTGATCACTGTTAGCCATAGCAAGTTGAATGTATTAGCTCACTTGCTTTCTGTGAAAATAATAATAAAAAAATTAAGTTTCTTCATATAAAAACAGGTAGTAAATATATACAGATTAAAATCCTAATGGTTTGTAACACAAATAAGATACTATTTATTAAAAATTATATAGGTACATGATAATACCACAGAATAGGTAGATTAAATAAATTATAACAATCTGTTATGTAATCCAATACAGTACCTAATTGGATTTATTAACTTAAGTTTTTTTAAATTTAGAACCTACAAAAAATATATATGATTAATTTTGCAATTTCGTGAGTGTTCAATACAATGAAAATGTATGTAGATATCTCCTAATCAACCAATTCAGAATCACGTTTATGTAAAAAAATTTTAAATAGGTATAACATCTTTACCTGTTCAGTATTTTAGTAATGGTCGGACACTAATAGCTATTAAATATTAAATATTGTAATCAGTGCTAGTGTGTCCAATAAAAACGTGAATTTGTATATTTTATTCTATGAACAAACTCATGAGTGATAGTTATAGTAAGAATTATAAGAATGCATGCCTACTAAGATCGTCGACTTCTTCACAATAAAGCTGGACCTAAAACGTACGAGATTTAAAACATAACTTACACTGAACAGTTGCACAACAGAGGCAACGTAGAACAAAAAATATTGAGTAATAATATTACTATATTATGACCAGCATTGATTGAGCATGCCGTATGGTGAGAAATCTGATAAGAATGTTTCTTCCAAAATCTAAATTTGATAAGAATTAAATAAGGAAAATTATTAATTTTAAAATTCATTATTGCCAATGTCGAAAATTAATAATTCCATGAGTCGTATAACCAACTTAATAAAAAAAAAGTCTTGAAATATTGTCAAGTTAAATTTTTTTTTTTTAAATTTTTATTAAAATATCATATTGATAATATTATATAGTAGGTAACTAATGCCTAGTATTGTAGTGAAATATCAAATAATTCAATTATATGTATGAAGCAAGTAATTTATCACTTAATGGGATCGGCCTGGAAAATGCAAGCCAGTTTTTTTAACGATAAATCAGTTGAGTTGCGTATATTTCTCACTAATGAATAATGAAAACTGTTGTTACCAGTCGGCAGTCACGTAGATTTAAACTTAACATAAAAACGTAGTTGTAGCCACTCAACAGATGTCAAAATAATATAAGTCTATGCACCGATGTAAATAGGTAAATAAAAAAATGTGCTAAATTAAAAAAAAATATTCTGAATTATATGAAACCTTTTATAATAAAAGCTTCATTAATATTTATTATTTATAATAACAATGTATGCAAAACCATTAAATATAATATTTTTTATCCGATGTAATAACCATAATACTTACATTTTGTCATTTTTTATGGATAATTTATTAATCTAGATTAAGTCAATCAAGATTTAACATTAAAATTACTCATAGTTTCATTATTTTTATTTAGTTACCCGTTACAATATTAATAGAATATAGAATAATGAATAATTAGCAAAATTAAGTAATCTACATACTTTCAAAACCAATGTTAATTTTAAAAATAATTCAATGTTTGATATTTTTTATATGTAAACATAGTCTTTTAGAAAGCAAAAATTTGATAGTTAAAATAATCTTTAATTTAAAGACAAAATATTGTTTGTCATTAGGTGAGGACTCCTAATTCTTGTTTCACTGTATTGTTTCAGGAATGTATGTCATATAATGTGCTAATTATTTAATTTATTTAAATGTAGTTAATCATTAAAAATGTAAAAATAAAATTATAGCTTATAAGAAATAACCTTGTAGAACAAGGAATTGTAAAAAATACATATAATTAAAAAAAAAAAAAAACAATTATTTATTACTTATTCGTGATAATATTTACAAAATTATAAATGAGTCGAACTACGAAACCAACAATTTAATATTTTTCAACTACTAATTCTAGAACACGATTCATGTTAGATACCAATTTTCTGGAATCATTGATGAGGCCCGCTGTCACCATTGAATTACTATACAACTAGATAAACAATAAAAAAAATGTGTATAAGATTAAAAAATATATAACATTTACCAGACATTTAGATATACTTAAATAGTGAACATACATAAACTTTCTCTGGAAAGTCTAGAATATTTATAAGCCTTGATATAAAATATTTTGAATGTCTTTAAAGAGTAAAGAACACTCAAAATGTTTAAATACATATTGATTATCTAATAATTACAATATTAAAAACATTATTATTTTTTTAGAGTTATGATATAAACATTTATGTGAGCCTACAACAATAATAATAATAATAATAGTAAAAATTACAAAGTTATTAATTTAAGATCAAACAAAAATATAATCAATAGTACAAGAATATGTTATGTTCAAAGAAAACAAATTATTTAAATATTTAAATGTATACTCATTGTTTTGAGATTAGGAAGTAAAAAAAAATATGGTTACAATATATTAACTATTAAATATAATAGTAATTTGAAAAAAAAAAATAATAAAATTTAAGCAAACATACCATAATGCTTATGATAAAAATTATGCAGATTTAAATTTTTAGTTTTGTATTTAACTATTTTAAACTGTATAATGATTACATATTACTTTAAAATGTATCAAATGTATATTTTTTTTTATAGATGTTGAATTAGAAATAATATAAGTTAAACGCATAAAAATCATTTAAAATTTAATGAAATAATAGTAAGCTATTGGTTATATGTTGATTTTCATTAAATATTATTGAAAAAACATAATATTTAACTGAACCATTAAATGAGTCAATTTTTAATGAAACCTGGCAATAATATACAAAATTATATATTTTAAAGGTTTAAAATATTTAAATTTTGTTCAAATTAAATATTTCAAGCTTTTAACTAAACATAATATGTTAAATACACTTAATTATAAATTCCTAAATTTAAAAATTAAATGTAAATTACTAATTTAAAACATTATGAAATAAATTTTACCTGTTCCACAATTAATTTAGCCAATTCTGGATTTGAATCTTTAAGTGTATGCAATTTCTTTATAACTGCATGTCTGAAAGCAGATAGTTGTTAAATACATTTATATACAATTTTTTTAATTAATTACTTAGGGTTTAGTTCAAGTTGAGGCTGAAGGACTGAAAATAACATCTCCTCATCCATTTGTTTTAGCTGGGTTTTAATGAAATGTCTAGCGGCTGTCATATCATCAACAGTGATTACACAAGGATGGCTTTCTAATTGTCCAGTAGTTTTTACCTTTTTTACTTTGTTACCCAATACGGATTCAATCCAAGGTAATAAAGAATCTAATTGTAACTGACTTAAACTATCAATTCCTATTAAACATATATTGAATGAACAATGAGTGAAATAAATTATTCATTAATTTATTTATAGTTTTATTCGAATAACTAATGAAAATATAACCAACCTAAATCAACTGCTTGAGAACTTTGATTATTAGCAGCATTAATTTCTTTTTCAACTAAAGTGAGTTTGGCATTCTTGAATGTTTTTACTTGGTATAAAATGATTTCATCATGTTGTTCATAACAATAAATAACTTCAATGTTTTTCTTCTTTAATGCTTCAATGTATGGAGAATTTTCCGCTAAAGCTCGGCTATAACAAATCATTTCAAAAATAAAGTTTTAAAGATAATAATTTTATCATATTAATAATTTAATTATATTACTTAGGAGCAGATAAATAGTAAATATCATTTTGACCTTCTTGTCTTCTCTTCATATAGTCTTCAAATGATGTTGTTTCGCCTGGTTTAGTGTACGAAGATTCATATCTTAAAAGACCAGCAAGATCTTCCTGTAAAATAAAAAAATTATAAATTAAAAAAACTTTTTATGATTATTATTTTTTTGTTAGTTATTCTAGTTTAGTAAACATCATTATTCATTTTCCAATCAATAATATCAATAATAGTTCATTTCTATTGATAACTATTGTTATGACATCATTAATCTAAATAAATAATGAAAAAAATATTTAAACCACAATTATGAATAAAAATATAAAATTTGACACAATAAATGTCTGATAAGCTATAAAAAATTAGATTCAAATAATAAAATACAAACTCGTTCTTTAGGGTCGTCATTTGTTACAACTCCTTCTTTGATAAACACACCATAGTCTTGATAAAATTTCATGTATTCGTCAAGATCTTTAACAGATTTATCATGTAAAAATTTAACGATTTTATTGGTCAATAATTGGTTCAATTTTCTGAAAATAAAAGAAATAAATTATACTGAGATTAAATATGGATTTAATATTTTATTAAAAATGTGTAATTTGTACCTAAGTAATGAAGAGTTCTGTAACATTTCTCTACTTAAATTTAATGGTATATCTTCTGAATCAATAACACCTATAAATATTAATAATCACAGTTAAATTTTTTTGTACTTATTTAAATATAGTAGTATTAAAAATAAAAATAAATAGTTTGATGAAAGAATATAATAGTTAATAGCTAATTGTTCAAAGTTACCCTTTACGAAACGAAGCCATTTGGGTAATACATTTTCAGCTTCTTTTTTAACCAATATACGTCTAGTATAAAGTGATACGCCTTTAGTTGAACTGTCATAAAAATCAGTCTGACCTACAATAAATAAAATCTATGACTATCTAATTTTTATTTTTTTTTTTTCGTTTATAATTAATACCTGGTGCTAGTTCTGGGAAGTATAGCAATGCACGCACTTGAATTGGAGCTTCGGCAGAGTAATGCAACACAAATCTTGGTCTATCATAAGTATTTGCTACAAATTTGTAAAATTCATCATGTTGTTCTTTTGAAACAGATTTGGGATTAAGTAACCATAATGGCTAAAAAAGTTTAAGTTACATAAAAAAATTAATTAACATTATTAAATTGTATACTTACTTGTATGGTATTAATTTCAGAACCATTCAACTTAATTGGAGAATTCACAAAATTGCTGTATTTATTAATGACATTACGAACAGTGTCTTCTGAAGCATATTCGCGACAATCTTGTTTAAGATACATGACTATTTTTGTACCTCTCTCTATATTATCAGATTCTATTATTTCATATTCATTAGTTCTAAAACAAGTTATTAAGTGTAAGTTTCATAAATTAAAACTAAGAGTTAAAAAAAAAAATACCCATCTGATTTCCATAAATATCCAGTAGCATGAGGATTCATTGACTTTGTGTAAACTTCTACTCTATCAGCCACCATAAAGCAACTATAAAAACCAACACCAAATTGACCAATAATTGATGATAAATTTGTTGATTCACTTTGTTGAATATTTTGTAAAAATGCCTAAACAAATAAAATATGTTAAGCTATCTAAAAGCCATTCTTGTACTTGATATTAATTATATAAAAATGTATACTTTGGAACCAGATTTAGCAATAGTACCCAAATTTGTAATCAACTCTTCTCTAGTCATTCCAATTCCTGTGTCTTGAATTGTTAATTTGCGATTTGTCTTATCTGTGGTTATGTTTATATCTAAACTTCCCAAGTCATGAGATTCGCCAGCTTTCAAACTGACATATCGTAATTTTTCCAAAGCATCGCTAGCATTTGAAATCAATTCTCTGATAAAAACCTACATTTAAAGAATATTATTAGAGAAGTCCTAGTACAAAGTTATTTTCATTATTGATGTAAATTATCTTTTACTTCTTTTTCGGAATATAATGATTTGGCAACAATATCCAACAACATACGAGTCTCTGCTTGAAATTCCAATTTTTCTGAAAAACCGATAAAATTATTGATTATATGACTTATCTTAGATTTTCTATTTTATCCGTTATCTAACCTGCAGTTGGATTTTTGTCATTCACGCGATCATCCAAATTAGGATTAGCTGCAAAGTGTCTAATAGGCACATCTGTAAATAATAATTTAACAATATTATAGGATAATGCAAAAATCTACAATCTAAAAAAAAATACAGAAATTCCAAAATATTATAATGAGGAAAATTACTAATTCTCCACCATACACATATAATCATGTCCTAAATAGAAACCTTCACATGAAAACAATACATAAAGAGGCAAAAATTTACTATAAACAATTCCACCTATGCCTTAATACTCACCCACATTTACTTATTAAAAACTTAGCTACAATTGTCATCCCCAGTTAGCTGACAACTCTCTTTGCACCTTAAGCGAATTTGTGCAAAAATCTACTAGATAACAATCTTTAACCCAAAATAAAAGTAAAAATATACACATAAATAATTAAAAGGTGAAAGTGCCATCAATAGGAGGCATCTTCAATCAAGTTGTTCAAGTTTTTTTTTTAATTTTATATAGCTTGTACTAGTCATACTCTATTGTGCTTACAGGTACAAATTGTGTATTAATAATAAAGAACAAAAAATAATATATAATATTTATGCTTAGTGAATCGCTAGTTGGCTTACTTGATGACAATACAACATTATTCGGTCTGAGATTGTATGTTTGTCCGGTGCTTCTAAAACGCCAAACATTTCTAATAAGTTGATTTCTAAACAATTTAAGCGCTGCCATTGAAGACATTTTATATTTAGTAAAACTACAAAAAAGAAAATTTGATATTAGTTACTGAATATTGATTAATGATTAATAGGTACTGAAAATTAAGAATGCAACGTGACTGTATAGCTTTTAATTTTACACCAATTAATAATCAATGTCTTTTAGACTATAGCCTAATAAACGTGATAACCATGGTGGCATGGTTACAGCAGCTGTTATCAGATAAAAATTCACCGGCGCCTCGGAGATTCATTAATTGATTATGGTGATATTTGTTAACAGACTAATCAAAGTTTGGATTGGTTTGTGGTTACTTTTTAATTTTTATAGTATTTACTACCTATTTATTATATCCATGTATAACTAATAACCATTTACCATACGGCCATAACCCAAATATACTCCCAAGTATCAACTATCAATAAATAATAGATCATGGTCTTACCAGGACAGAAATACAAAACTGATCCTGCTGTGTACAGCGATTGTGAACTGTAGATTTTTCGAACTTACAAACAGCTTTAAATGTATATTTTCCAAAATTTTAAATTGGTTTAAAAGTGAATTGTAGTATCACTATGATCAATAGGATGTAAACTCTAAAGAAAACAACTCGAGGAATCTAAATCTATATCACAAAATTAGATTGATTTGCAGTAGGTACCTACGTACCTAATTATATATTTTTTCCATGAAAAACAGTTCATTTAAACCTCCATCGTCCACAGCTCGTATTCGGTATCTAATCATAATATGCATAAATATTTAGTAACGTCCCCCCAAATATATATTGGATAATTATAATATTGATCACTCAGAGTAAACACAAGATACAGCTATCAATTGAAATATTTTTATTCAAATATAGCAGGGACGTAAACAGGGGATGTTTTGGATGTTCAAACACCCCCCGAAATATTTGATTTTTTTATAGTTGTATAGTTATTTACTTATTCAATTCTAATGTTAATTGTTACATTATATTTTTTGACAGGTAGACATAATATTACATTATTTTTGTAAAAAATTGACTAAAGCAAAAAAAAAAAAATTAACACTAACAAATTAAAATTTTTATATGGTTAAAAAAAAAAAATACTCAAACAGGATTTATAAATATAATAAAATTATACTTATTGCGTATTTCCTATATTTATTATAAAAAAGTTCTACTTTTCAAAAACACACCCCAAAACTTTACTGCTTACTGCGTACATCCCTGAACTATAGGTACTTATAAATACAAAATATAAATAACACATACACATCATTGCAAAATATATACAATATATTCATCACTCATAATTTAAATAGAAGTATCCCCATTCTTGATGAATTACACAGAATAAATATTAATTTTGCAATTAATATTGATGTAAATGTGTATTTATTACAAGCAATTTGAAAATAGGTACACCATGTAGGAAACACACACAAGACACAACTACATAGATTAATAAAAAGAAAGTATGAAGGTACATATAATACATATTATTAACGTTTTAAATTCTGAGCGGAGCAAAGAATTTATAGGTCTGGTATATTTATTTTATTATAATGTGTATCTTTTTATGTGTGTACCTATGTGAGTATACCTACATGATAAGTTATCGATAAAATGCTTTGATTTTAAAAAAACGGTGTGGTTTTGGATACTGAATTGGATCTAGTTTGTAACTTAGAAAGGTCAAACTTAAAAATTCCCAGTACCTATTTTCATAACATGAAAAATCAAATAAAAATTAAAGAAAACTGGAAATTTTGACGTAAATCTAATTTTTGACAAGATCGGTTTAATTTTTTAAATATTATTCCAAAACGAATAATCGTAGATACTCGAAATTTCACCAAATGTTTATATTATAATTTTTTTAATTACGATAAAATTATCAAAATATTTCAACTACTTTTAAATTATTAAATTTATACACATAAGAAAATATATTCATTTTTTTTTTATAAATGTCAATTAAAAATTATTTGCTAGATAGAAATGTTTGAAAAGATCCCACATAAGTTTTCCGTTTATCTGTATAAAAATATTATAAATACATAGTAACATTTTTAATCATTTTTTATAGACATTTTAAATTACAACTTGGATAAAATTACTTATTTAAATGATAAATAATAGGATATGTATCTAATTATTTTATTATAATTTAAAAATAATATTTGTGGAATGTTAAATTTTTATGTATTTTATATTATTATGAATTTATTTTACTTTACGCTATCATATTTTTGATTTATTTTCGAATATTATCTTTTTATAGATATATGGTATTTACTATGAATCTATTTTTACTATTTTACGGTATTAAATTTACAAAAATATTTCATTAAATTTTGTTTCATTTAAGTTGATAAAATATAATATAAATACATATTATGATTATAATAATAAAAATATAAAATAAATTATTTTATTAACTATATCAAAAAAAAAAACTTATCACTTGATGATATACCTAGGCGCTAGGCTGATAGATCGTTTCCGCTCAGAATCGTTTTACTTATACAATAGTATACGTATATCATTGAATTCAAATTTAACACACCTATTGTAAGTGACCCACTCAATACCTTATAATACGATATCGTATGTCTTATGCTTATATTTAGCAGAGTGGTACCCAGTTACCTACATTTTTCATACTTTTTTTTCTGTTTTAAGAATAACAATATTATAACGTAATTTATGAAAAAATAGACATAATGTTTTTATTATTTTTTTTTAATTTAAAATTTTTATAATTTACCTATAATATATAAATGTAATGATATAGCCGTTCGTTTTTTTATTACATTTCATACACATATTTTAATGGTTTATACTTTATTAGGTATATTGGTATTATACACAACCAAGTATACGGTTTATAAATTACAAAATACTTTTCAATTAAATCATGATTTCTAAAGTAGTATAGTAGTTAATATAGATAAACGTCGTTAATTTCGTATTGCAATTGGTATTTTCAAATATATTTTTTTTTACCGCTGATTATTTTAAGGACTCAAGGAAAATAACAAAAGAGAATAGGTACTAGTGTCTTAAAAACACTTATTAAGAAATATTCTATTTTCGTGTTTTGTGCACTCGTAAAATAGTTATGTTACTATCTAGACTGGGCGTTGAACGCGGTCCAAAAAAAAAAAAAAGCGACCAAGGCGGCGGTAGCAGTTCTAAATGTGTTCCAGCGACTTCGATGATAATTTTAGAATATTTAGTGTGCTTCCTGTCACAAAAGCATTTTAACATTTAAATTTGATTAAGTAAGAGAAAAAAATCAAACACGTCATGAAAAAATTCAAATAATTTATATTAGTATAGATAATTATAACAATAAAAATGTAGTAATAATCATTAAAATACAATATTTCTTTGTTTTTTCAATCCAACGGAATATAATATATATTATATAATAAGTTAATGAACATTAGCCAATTAATTGCACCTATTTTTATTTTATTTTTATTATTATGAAAATATAATATATTATATAAGATATAACATTAAGTTGTGTACTTAGCTAAATATATATTATATTATGTGTATAAAAAATATCCAATCTTCAATGCGGTGATTACAGAAACAATTGTAGGAACTAGCACAAATCATGTTTTAGCATATATTATATTATTATGATGTGCAATGTGATCGAGTATTGTATACATTATACAGCTCTACAATATTACATGCGTACAATAATAATTCTATGTTGTAATTTTAAAGCTGTTTACATAGATAACATAATATAAATATATATTATATTTTATTGTATGGTTTTTTTTTATAACATTGGAAACAAAAAATCATAAGACTTATTGAAGGGAATTAAAAACAACATTTATTTTTTCAAAAATTAATTAATCAATTAATTAAAAATTAAGGTATTAAAATAAAAATAAAAATGTTTATGCTTTCTAAAAGTGGTTCACTAGATAGAAAAATATTTAATGATGCGAGATTGGAATCAATTTATCAGGCCCTCCTAAAGCAGGCAATGGTGCTTCAACAGTTAACACACCGTCTTTGCTAAGAGATGATTTGATCGCTTCCGGATTGGTACCTTTTGGAAGTAAGAATTCCCGGTTGTATTCCCTGTACACAGATTTTGAATCTGATTTTTCTTCATGCTTGGCGTGTACCTTAACAAATAAATAATAAATCATCAAATAAATATTCAAAAATAATATAATATAATAATGCATACACTATGGAATATTTATAAAAGTTATAATGACCATTATGAATATAAAATAAAAGCACTTTTATAATATTAGTATGGGTAGTACGAGTAATATACTTCCTAAGTTACATAATATATTAATATTATAGGTAGATAAACTATGATTTGTTTCATAAATAAAAAAAGGAATTATTTAATAGTATTAGAAATTTTTTTTTACTATTTAGTCATATTTGGTTAAGTTTAGATACACGTATTGTTAAATTTGACATAATATCCTTAAATATATGTATATATAAAAAAAACTAGGCATTTTTTAAGTACCAAGTTGATGGCATTACATTTTTTCACCGAATTATTCCAAATATACATCCCTGAGTGTTCCAACATTGTCTATTTTTTCATTTTTTACTTTAGGAGATGAGGAGGTATTGTATTTAAATATTGTGGTTTTTTCGACGAGGCATTTAAGTAATTTTACGATTTTTTTTCACTTATAGTTGTTAAATTATAAAAATGATAATATATATAAATAATTGAATTTTAGTCTAAAACTGCGCTAGGGCGAAGCTAACATTTTGTGAAATAAAATATTCTATTCACAATGTGTAGCTATAAAACAACTTAAATTTAAGTAACTTAATATTCATTGTATTGAAAGATTTTATAATACTTCTAATTAAATTTATTTTAAGTTCGAAACTTTTTTCGAAATCAGACCATTAAAAATACTCAGAAAATCGAGTTAAATAAAATTGGTTCAGTGACTTTTCGTTCAAATCATTAGAGCATAATATTACCATGCCTTGCGTACAGTATTGTAAATTATTTTATAAATTAAATAATAAAAACTTAAAATAAATAATAACTAATAATTAATAAATATATTTTGTCTCGATTCATGTATCATAGAGAAATAATAATTGATCTTTAGATTTTTAAACTGATTTACATTTAATTATACAATTTATTTTGTTATTTAACTATTTATTATTATTTACTAAAATATTGTATTTATTAACGCCTGAATATGTTATTTTTCAAAATATACAAAATTTACAATTTAAAATATAGAAAATATAGCTAATATTTGTAATTTGTATACAGTTTAACAGCATAATAATTAATATGTTTAAATTATAATTTATAGATATTCAAGATATTAATAGTTATTTATTAAATGATAGACGATAAGTTACATTATAAAATCTGATAATTTTAACGCGATTTATTGTTTTACAAGACATAGCTGTATAATTGTATAAGTGCATAATAAATTATCTATATAGAAAGAAAAAATAATTTAATAATTGAATAACCGAATCGCTTATTATTAAATAGTCCGTGTAATGTCACCCTTTATAATAATCGTATAGTATTATATTTTACAGTTTTTGTAATAATATATTTGTGTTGGAATGTAGCGGAGTATAATATATAATATATGAATGCAATATGTAGGTAATACTCGCATCTTGCACACGAGATCATTATTGGTCCGAAGGCTTCTAGCCATGTATGGAGTTTATCGGGTGTAGACAAGGTCGATTAAGGCGTGGGTCGTTTTCAAGTATGTCTGTGCCATGTGTACAAGAGTGTGTGTGTTTATTTTTTTTTCATCTAAATAAATGAGCACTCCCTTCTTTGTGGGAGAATACATTATAATGTTATGTAAATATAGTAAAATGTATACTTAAATATACCTAAGTACATTATGCTAGTTATTGAAAAATGTAGAAAATATAACATAATCGAATACCTTCGAATTAGTGTAGCAAATCTGTTAATGGATTCACAAGGTTTCAAAAATATTTTTATAATATTAAAATTTATGAGAAATATGTTTTATAATAAATCTTAATACATAAACGTATATATAATTTATTATATATGTTTATCCATTTTTTCCGAAACTTTATAAAGTAAAATTTTAAAAAACTGTCAAGGCCGTCGACGTACACACATGACATTAACTATGTGAAGGTCTTGACAAATCATCCGTGGCTGATTTAAACATTATTACCATTACCTATCTAACGTGATCATATTGGCAGTGCGTTTATATTAATACACAGTGCTTTACGCTATTATTACAGGTGTATAATATTGTGGAAATCAAAGTAGCGAGCTATTATAATACAAATTTGTTTCTATTGCTTTAAAAAGTTGTGGTCCATTCACCACATACGCATTAAGGACTTCATAATATATCCTCTATAATATTTAATATATTAGTTGGAGTACTCAGGTCCGTACTACGGTGTAACAGGGAAATGTTAATGGTTAATACTTAGCGAGTATATAATTTTAATACAACCGGTTTCGAAATCATCTCGTTACGCATCGTGCTATTGAAGTTTATATAGAACACCCGCGATGTATATATGCGTACGTCGCATCCGGTGCGATTGTTTTATATTTCTGTCATACACTCGTGCCTATCTCGAAATCTTGTTCGTTTTACGGTACAACGGTAATAATGATAACAATATTATGTTATTCTTTAAAACATTTTAGTTAGCTGTGTGCTGCAGAACGCAGATAGATAGGTCACACGAATAATGACACATACCAATAGTTTGTTATCGACCGTTTTGACGACAATTTCCTCGGGTTCGTATTGACTGACGTCAAATCTGAGTTTCAACATTTTGTTGTCGCCATCCTCTTGAATTAACGGCGAGTTAATGCTTTCGACCCAACCACTAGGCGTAGCCCCAGTTAGTCGGCTAGCTGGCAGATCGCTGTGGTTCGACGAAATTGTGTTCTGAGAGCTGGAAATAATAATAATAATAATAAACAAAAATTAAATTAAAAAAAAATTGAAAATTTCGTATTGTTTTAAAACCACATGCGTATAAAATAATAATAAATAATAATAATAAACAAAATGCTTAAGTGTCATAAATGTACAACGTGCGTAAGATATTTTTCAGAGACTTGTTAAGTGCGATAATTATGCTTAAAATATATTGACCGCATGTAGACATTCCTGACCAAAATATTTGAGTTTTTAAACTATATTTATTATTAGATATGAAATCAGAAAAAATACTTGTGTATAAAAACAAATTATGGCTCGACTAAAAAATCCTTGTGAAATAATACGGCTTGTACATAATCATTAATCATGATTCATGAATCATGACAAACATTTTATACTCCACGTATTTTGTACTTGTGCGTTACTATGATTCGATTATATATATTTTTATTTTCTCATGTAATTAATTAACTTAGTACTATAGTCTATAACATTAATTTATCGCTGTTTCTATAAAAGGGTTATTGAATACATTCTTTTCTAAGCTATTCAGGATAATGATTTTGGAATTTTCATAAACGTTTTTTTGTTTTTAAAACTTAACTACCATTTCTGTTATAGATATTATACATAATAATAAGGTCATCATTGCACTTCGACAATTTAAATCAACAAATATTTCCGTAACTATATTTGAAACTCGGATTTTTATGTAATTAACGGAATGTTGAGTGTACAAATCAGTGAAAATAATACATGTAAGTAATAACAGTTTTGATTATAGAACGATTACATACTGATTCATAAATTAAAACTTTTAATTTTCTGTAAATATATTTAAATAACAATAACATAATCATAATTCAAAAAAGCGGTAGTAATGATCCTTTTAGTTTTATATTTTAATAAAAAAAATTATTTTGATAAAAATATTAGTTTAAAGCCCATTGATGGTCGTACGTACTCGTATAGTCTATTATTTTAAAGCAACTGTGGGTAGGAAGGAAATTTACTCTTTCTCGATCAATTGCCATTCAACTGTTAATTTGAATGTGCCCACTCAAAAATATTTTTATTTTTAATTTAGTGTTATGGATGAACTACGAGGTCAAATAGTTATATATTTATATGGCTTTTATTATACTTACTATAATACTAACGAATTTATATGCTAAGAATAATAAATAAACTTAGAAAAAAAAAGGAAAAGTGACCTTTTAGAAGGCGATAATAAAAACCTTTGAAAATGAAAAATAATGGTAATAACAAAGATAGTATACTAAACTTGTAAAAATAGGATAAATATCAACTATTTATAGAATATTTTAAATTAATTAAATATAAAAATGAATATAAAATAAAATTACTAAAAAGCAAACAAAAGATCATAATGTAATATAAAGTATAATAATGCTAAAATATATTATAATTTATAGAATACAACAATTTTAATATTATACAATAATAAAATTTTACTGCAGTGATAATGCTTAAATTATAAAACAATAATGCACTAATGTAATTTGAATAAGTCGAATTCATAATATATTTGATGCAAAACATATGTTTTGAGTGCATGAGTAGTGAGGTGGAATGTAAAGTGGCGTTAATATTATGTTATTGGTAAAATATTACCTTGAAAAAACAATATCTAATCAATATGAGCCTAAACATCCATAAAAAGACAAACAGTGCAAAAAAATACAATGCAATTTAAAATGTTAACAAAATATAACTAATACGATTAATGAAGTATCAAAATCTCATTTTAATATATGCTTTGTAATTTAATATTTTTTTTTTAAATTCATACTTGTTTGAACTTTAAGCCATGGCAGTATTTAACATATATTTAATACAACTACACTATTATAGTTTTCTAATTGGGTCGTGATTTAAAGACAACTTAAATATCACGAAAAGGTGTTTTAAATAATTAAGCCCAAAAGAGTTTTTATAGACATTATTTTGTGAGACACTCAATAGGCAACTGGCTAACAAAAAAAAAAATAAATAAATAGAATTTGACATTTCAAAAATCCACACCGTTCCACAGTGATCACATAGAACTATTTTTAAATAAATGTGTACGCTAGAGAAAGTTTTAGTTCTTATTATATTAAATATACATGGGTACACATTTGTCGTGTTAAAACCCTGTTACTTTAAAATCGTTTTGAATATTTTTTGTTGAACAGGTTTTTAAGTGTTAAAAACCATATTAAAATAATGAAAACATTAAATTCAATATCCCTCGGCGCTCTTATAACACGCCATTACAGCACAATTATGTTGTGTTATTTTTGCAACAATCTTCAGCACGAACATTGGATATAAAAATTAATTCAAAAGAAAATTCTGATACGATATTGACGACGGAGTTTGAAACTTAATATGCCATATTAAATATATATATATATTATACTTAGTATATTATAATTTATAATATAATACGTGCATAGTATGTTGTTATCGCGTAGGCGCGGTTCCGTGACCACGATGCAATAAACTAAAATATTAACATTGTAGACCTATATAATATTATTTTGTAGTGTGGTCGTAAGTTAATATTATAGTAGGTATATAAGTATTTCTATGACGCTGCTGCCATTGCCTCCATCGCCAAAGTGTTATAATTTCTACTACTTCCAATAATAGCCTGCACCGCCTCAGACTCATGTATTTATATACATAAAATAAAAATAAAATATGTACAATGTGATTATGCACACGTTGGACGAAATAAATCTAATTCGAGTAAACTAAACAGAAGGCTTATGCGCGTTATTTTCAATTGTATATCATATACTCAGATTATAGTAATGACTAATGAGTAAGTATATTGGGTGAAAAAATATTTTCAATTAAGTTCGAACACTCCTCTGTTATTAAAAAAAAAAAAAAATTGAAAAAATAGGCTGTCATTACGAGTAAGATTAGGCAAAAACATTTTAAATACTTAAGAACTCAATAAAAAGTGATAGATATAATTGATATAAATGCTTTGTTTTTGACAAACTTCAAAATTGACAGAAACTGATTCTTATAACAATTGCACCGTGTGTGAGTACTTGCTAAACGTGAGTCAGGAAATCGCAAGTTTAAACTATACATAGGTTTATTGTGCTATTTGATCTGTAACCGCGGTGTGCGTTACCGTATGGAGGGAATAAAAATAATAACAACAATATACACATCAAACGTAATAGGTACGCAGCTCAACTGCAATTATTGCCAATTGTGTTATGGTGCAATAATATAACGTGATTCCCATCACGACCTCTATTGTTGTGAGCAAAACCGTGCAGAATGAACGCAATCAATGTCAACCCGCAAATGATTCACGAACCTTTTTGTATAAACGCTCACTTTTCTACACACCAAAAATTTATAATAACGATATAATATTATTCCCAATTAAGTTTTTCTCAATCATCCATTATAATATACCTATGTAAGTTGATGCTTATATAAAAGGTATGTACGACCGTTATTAAGGTACAAAAGATGGTTTTTTTGTATTTCATAAGAATACCTACGACGGTTGTATTTTAAATTTCAAATCAATATTTACCCACGGTAAACATCACACAATATATAATTGTAAACACGACTATATATGAGTCGAGACAGTCATTGTAAGGCATCTGAGAGTATTCTTTCCTACGTATTATCATTATTATTATTTTAAGCATCAACACGATCGTAAAATTTAATTATAAGCAATACATACGTATTTTATAGGTGTACCACGCAATATAATTTTATATATATATGTCCTACTAGTAAAGTTGTAAACTATTTGAGCAAAATTATTCAAATTATTTATTAATATAAGTTTGTATTCTAAAAATGATTTTGAAGTATTTATATAATACGAGTATATTATATGTAAATTTGTTTTAAATACTCGAATTAATGTTTTTTTATTGATATTTATATTATTAGAATTTTTTTTTTGAAGTAGGTAATGAAGTATTGATGATTACTAATTCTAATTTCAAAGCAGTGTACATACTACCTACCTATATGTATATTAATTAATATTCAATATTTATACAGTTATTATTTCACAGTTAATTAATTCGAATAATATTCAAAATAATAGAATTAATATTTGAAATACAAATATAGGTAGATATACTTTATGATTATATTTTATCCTTTTATTTTGATTACAAGTGCAAGTGCTCTAAATAATCAGCAGAATGAAAGATAATTTAGACAACATATTAAAAACTTGTGTATTATACAGATAATATGAATTATGATTTAAACATTCTAAACCCTTTAAAGTGCTGCTGCAAAAAATATGCATAATTGGCATGCCAATTTCAAAAATGATTATATTATTGTACTTACAAGGACTTTTCTTCCACATGTGATGTCCTTTTTAAAATATCGTACGATAAAAAAAAAAAACACAACAATTTATTAGTTAATAATATAAGTAGAAAGTTTTTTTTTCGGAAATACCGTTTTGATATAAATTGATCTATACAAAATAGGTATCAAAATCAAAAATACCAAAATCGAATTTAATGAAAAATCACATACAGGAGCTTGTCCAAAAATACGAATAAAATATAATAATATAAACTGTTAGATTGAAAGTATTTCATATTATAAAATAGTATATACTAACTTGGACGTGGTCTTGAAGAAGTTAGACTCTTTGTTCATGAGTTCGGAACGAAACTTGGTCATCTCGTCTTCCATCTTTCGCATTTCAGCGTCGAAACGCTCGCGGATGTTGCTGAACTCAGAGTCGATCACGCTGAAGTCGCCCAACTTGATAGGGATGTCTCGCTTGACGCCAGTGTTGTGTGCCATTTATATTTTAGCGTGTTCAAAGAAAATAATCGATAACTGAACGGACGAGAATTTGAAGGGGTAAAATGCGACAGAAATAATATAAGATTTTATATTATTATACAATATCCAAAATGATGCGATATTACAAGTCAATGGTTGGTATCGATTATATTCTATTGAAAATCAACTGTTGTGGACGCGCTACGAACACACTCGGGGTATGACTGACGCCAGCGGACCCGCGCTCGGTCTATATGAGTGGAAAATCGAACACCCACCATTTTCACGCGGATGCTGGTCGACCGCGCACGCGCACACAGTGTAGGCGACGAGAATAACTAAATGTGTATATAGGTATATTATACTACAATTATTTACGTGTAACCTAACGTTTAAAACATAATATTACATTAGATGTTCCCTTTCCGTTTATTGCCGTTTAGTTTCAATACCACTATTATTATTATTATTTTGTGTATCTGTGTATTTGTTCTTACGAAACCATCGGTAAAAGCGCGCGTGCGCTTCGTTTCGGCGGCGCGTGGGTGTAGGACGGGTCAGGAAATAAGTTCTAGAAATTTCCTGAACAATTTTTTTTTATAATTGATGACTATACACTATAGAGTATAAGTATAGGTATATCAATATTATATATTTTTATTTTATTCAACTGTTCGATAGCGATATTATGATACACTATACCGAGCGTTACCATGGTGCATGATATTATTGTACAATCATTCTGGTAACCATAACACATAAGATTTCCAATTTAAATTCAATATTTGTATGGGTTCTCGAATTATGTCTTAAAGATTGAAAACCCTCACCGTAAATATACAATATAGTGATAGCAGATTATGAATTACAATATTTGTCAAGTTCGACGACATAAATGCAAAAATCAACTAGGACCAGACGGTCATAATAATAATATTTTTAGTTATCTATAAAAATAATAAATACATTTATCAAGTTAAACATTATCATTCGTGATTAAAATATACAAATTAAGATTATATCGTTCAATTTAGACTCTGAGCTCTCCGATGAATGTATTCATTCTATCTTGATGAATTTTTTAAATTTTTTTCGTGTATATTATCTAAGTCAGCGGTTCCCAACCTGGGGGTAATTACCCCCTAGTGGGTAAAAACACGATTTTTTGGAGGGTAAAAGTTAAACTATTTATTTGTATTTTAAGTACTTATTATTCATTTACTCATGTGTATTATGACTGTAAATGAAATTGTAATAATATAATATTTTTGTTAATAGTGTTAATAGTTTTGAGAACTCTTATTTTCTTTGTTTGCAAAAATTAAATAAATTATAATTATCATCATAATATATATTTTGTTTTTTTTTTACTCAACTTTTTTTTTTTGGTCGGGGGTATTTGTGAATATCTAACCTGACTTTTGGGTAATAGTCTCAAAAAGGTTGGGAACCGCTGATCTAAGTACACGATAAGTTATCAATAAAATGCTTCAATTTTCAAAAATAGGAGTGGTTTTGAATATCAAATTGGATCTAGTTTATGCTTTAAAGAGGTCAAACTTAAAAATGTCCAGTACTTATTTTTATTATCGACAATAACAAACATAAAATTAAGGCTAGACTTACACGGACTACATTACAATCACGCTATACAACCACAAAAATGCGGTCATTCATGGTCGTTACGAGAATTTGTATGTAATTCTAATTTTCTAAATTTAGATAATAAATAATATATAATCATAGATAGGTACTTGAAATTTTCACCAAATGTGTATATTATCATTTTTTTTTTTTTTAATTAGGATCAAATTATTTCGACTTTTTAAGTTTTTTATAGACATTAGAAATATTCAATTATTTTTATAAACATGGATTAAAAATTATTTACTGCAAAGAAATGCTCGAAAATTGATACAAAACTTCTCATAAGTTGTTAATTTCTCAATTAAAAACTATCGAACAAAGTTTCTATATTTTTTTATAAGCGTTTAAAATTATAATTTTGACAAAGTTTATAAAAATTGCTAGTTAGAAATTAATAAAAAGTTCGTTTTTATACCTAAGATATAAAAATTTTATACAAGTTTTGTAATTAATTTTTCAGCGTGTTTAAGAGAAAAAAATTCTACCTAAAAGCCAAATCAATTTTTTATGAACATTTCAAGGTCAAATGCTTATAACATTCAGTATTTACCAATAAAATATAATTAATACACCTTAAATAATTTTTGATATTTTAATGTATTTCAAAAAAAAATAATAATAGATGTTTGAAATTTTCACAACGTGTCCATATTATCATTTTAATTATATTATTAAATTTATAATTTTTTTTTTTAATTATATTTTATAGACATGATAAATTTAAATTTTTTTATTTTTTTATGAATGTCAATAAAAAAAAATATTCTCCGGGTCAAAATACTTGAAAATTTATTACAAGATTTCATTTAAGTTTTTCTTTTATAAGTTTAAAAATATTATAAATACATAGGCACAATTTTTTTTTTTTATTATGCTCTTAAAGTTGGAATTTTGACGAAATCCGTCAAAATCTCAAGAACTGTTTCCTGGTTAAAAATTCATTAAAACATTTCTTTTTGTATTCAAGTTTTAAGAATTCAATATACCTATATGATTCTATCATAAATATTCCTTACTGAAACTATACAATTAAAAAAATACCTATATAAAGATAATTTTTTTTTTATAGACTTTATAAGTTCTAATTTGGACGAAATTACTTATTTTAAATGATAAATAACGATGTATAATTATTTTATTACTATTTAAAAATATTATTTATGGGAATTAAACTTTTATTTATTTATATTATTAAGTCTGTATTTTTCTTTACTAAAATCCCAATTCTTTTTTTTGAAGTTTAGAAGTCTTAAACGTGAATTACCTATCTATTTAGTTATTTATTTAAAATTTCTATATGACTTCACATTTGTTTAATCTATTTTTACTTAATATTCATCACACTGATATGAATTGTGAATAATATTAACTATAATTCCTTTAGAAAAAAATTACATAACTTACATTATATATTATTTATTTATAGCATAGATTGATTTGTTAAACATATTTATTTGTATTAATATTTTATTCTTGATTATTACATAAATGATAAATTAAATAGAAGTATATTTATTACTTTATTATACATAGGTATAAAAATAATTTATTAATATTAATTTATCTATATTAAATATTTCATAGTTATTAAAAAAATTATATTATTTTTTTTTGGTCTATGAGATTTCGTTCTATGAAAATTTTACTAATTTTAGTATATACATACCTATTGGCTATTATATACTCTGTACAATATAGCTGTATAAATCTATATCATAAAACTGTTGTTGGAAATTTGGTTTTAAATTTGAAATTATACATCAAATGATGATCATAGAATTTAGAAGTAATTAAAGTTTGATCTAAAAAAGGCAACAATTGATAAAGAAATTGAATTAAATTAGCAAAATATTTAAAAATATAAATTGCCAACTGAAAACATTATAATTGGTATTTTATTTAGTAATAATAGGTTCATCTTGTTTTTTTATTCGATTGAAAACATTTGGATCTAAATTTTGGCACAGTTTAAAATTAAATTTATCTTAAAGTGCACACTGCACATATTAATATATTAGTTCAAGGCTGTGTCTGTTAACAATAGCCACTAAGTTAATGTTAAGTTTTATCATTTTACCGGAATAAGTTTATTTTTATTTTTATTATTAACTGTACAGATATTTAATAATTAATAAGGATAGATACCTTGTTTAAATTTATATAAATTGAATGGATATGGATTACTGGTAAACTTTTGCTAATTTATGTTGGCACACCACACAAAGTTTTCACCCGGAAGTCATAATGCTAGTTGTTCACTAAGTGTAAAAGCAGCTAGTACTTAAACAACTTAATTAAAGAATAAATTTAAGTTAATTGAGATGTATTAGTTTACTGTTGAACTCTGACATCTCTGAAGATTGAAATACTTCCAGTATTATTAAAATAATGAAACATGGGAATAGAATTTTAATGCAGAGTGCGGGGGAGTTACGTCAGAGAATTCAAAATAATCAACTATTTATAAAAAAATATTCATACTTTTCGAGAAAATAAATATTATATTAATGTTGTGTTAATATTATATTAATAACTTTTATATTGATTCTTAAAAGGATCTGCCCGTATAATATACAATAAACTGCCTGCAAACTTTATTGAGGCATATTATGTATTTTTAATTTTGATTGCACTCTTCATAATACAATGTACTATATTATATTATTATATAGTCCTGTAAAAGATCGGGGATGATTTTAAAAACGGCTTCGCCCACTTCAGACTTCAGCGGCAGGTGACGACCTGGCTACTGCAACATGCTGCGGTGGCCATTGCCACATTGCGGGTGACGTGATGCGTCAGCTGCATCAGTTACTAGGCGACAATCGGGTGAGGGTGCGATATGAAAGAGTCTGCAGTTGATATCCGCCGTGCAGATAGAAACATAACAGAGTAGTGAATACCTACGACTATAGAAGTTTTACGTCAGTCGAATATTATATATTAGGGTGTGTGGGAGGAACATCTGGGCAATGAATCTATTGCACAGCCGAATATATTTATCACAACCGTCTTCGGTGAATTTGGTTTAAAATTCACTATAAACATGACATCGTTGTCGAAATTAGTTTATAGGTAGGTTGTAGGTAGATACTTAATTTTTCGATAGACGATAGATCTCTTGCGGTGCGAGCGCGCATACCAACTATTAATTGTCTTTGTTTTCTATGCGAATCGATTGTGTTCCGGTCACCGTCTTCCGTTTATAGAAATGTTTGTATGATTGTGACGACGACGGCATAACATACTATAATAATATTATAGAACGGGGCGACGACCACGCAGGACGCGATAAACGAGTCTCCGACGGACGGGCGTCGTCAATGACTCATGCCATAATAATATTATATTATGCCCGGCCAACATTTCTG